GTTAGCGCACTTCTATTGTAAGGTTATCTCTTTTTGAACTGTCGGACATTTCAGGCTGGTTAAACAGCTGCTATAAATTTAACAGAAACTATGAAAATCAAGGAGGCCATAAAGGCGTCATACAATCGAAGAGCATAAAGGAAAAAGATGAATGTCACAAATTTGATATTTTGTAGTTAGAACCGGCAACATGTAGTCTTAACCATAAGGTTTCGGAAACGTGCAAAAACAATGACAGTCGTTGCAGGGACAAAAGATGATCGTCACCGAACCTAGTAGCTACTAAAACAATTTACTATACACAAATCTGCGACGAAAAAAATGAGTATTCATTTTGAAGCAGTTACCACTAATTCTGTTTTGTATGTTCTATATTCTTTTAAATAAAGCTTTGCCTGGTTCACAATTTTTTTGTCCAAACTACAAAATACTGTGTTTGAGCTGTGCCATATGACGAAAGGCTCATTCCTAACCTCAATATCTGAAAAAAGATTGAATTCAGGCATGGACAATAACACATAAAGAATGTTTAAAATCATAAGGAGAATCTCAAAATACAAAAATAAAAAGGACTTTCTATAAAAAAATGTTTGGTCTGCTATCACTTTTGGAGTACCCTGTATATCAAAAAAAAATTTTTACTAATAATTTAACTTTTTTCTCAATTCCTTACAACAAGGAATCTATAGTAGTCCGTCAGACATTTGACCCACCCTGTACAACGAGTCTAGGGGTCTTCAAACTCTGAAGCTGTCAGAAGGAGCGTTGTTTCAGAATAAATTAAAAATATGTGTGATGATAGAATGTAATTATACTAGTTTGGGGAGGAAAAACAGGGTTTTTTCTGTTTAAAATTCCCAAGATATTTCATAAATCTCCAAGCTTTTGATTATGCTGCCATATCTTCGTAAGTAGACTAGCTGGATTTCTGCTCCTTGGAAGTCAATATGAGGGGTGCTAGAGTTTTAAACTTCAGTAATACAAAAATACCACTGCATTAAGACTCAGCAAGATAGCATCGTTACTGACGAAATATTAGACCTGGCAACAACGCATCTACTACTGTCCGATCTGGTGGACATCGAGCTAGTACTCGTACTTCCCAAAACATTCGACCTTCCTAGGCTTCTGATAATATTATCATATCTAATAAAATGGTGAACCTGTTATCACTATCTGATCGGTTATAATCGATCAGCTTTAAATTTGTAGATACTGGACAGCTAATTCTCAACATATTTGATGGTTTGCAGACATTTGAATACCTCTGTATCCACGACAGGGCGCAGCGTACTGTTTAAATGATCTTTTGCCAGTGATACTAATACCATGACAGTTTAGAACAGTGAATATTACATTATTTCTGCGCCAAATAAATTACCTGTAGATATATTGATGTGAGAATAATCTATTTCTCATAAAATGATAAAACATTTACCCTCCGCGTTCATACATTTTTGACAACGTTTGCTGTTATTGATATTACTTAATACTTTTCGAGTATTTTCTCAAAAGGCCATTTGACGTTGAGGATCTCCTTAAGGGACAACTAATTGGAATCAAACTATTAAAATTAAAGTTTTGAAATAAACAATTTATAGATGCTATTTTTTTTGACCTAACAAAATCCTTTCGTTGCATACAACACGATACCTTTCTCTCGAAGCTACCATTTTACTCCTTTTATCCCAGTAGCACACTGCTCCTGGAGTCCTACCTAACCGGTAGACAACAATTCGTGGAATACAATGGCGGCAAATCCTCAATCAGTCCCGTTTTGCATGGTGTTCCACAAGGCTCTGTCTTTGGCCCCCTGTTAGCCGTATTGTTTGTATATTGCTTTTCCAACAACACTATTAGCAAGCTAATTCTATACGCCAATAACAGCACTCTTGTTTGCACTTAGCAATTTAGATAACGTGACCTCTACTTGCAAGTCCGACGTCCTTGAATGGTTTCGATTAATAAGTTAACAGAAAATTCAAATAAAACTCAATCCATGCACATTACTCTACGGAATATGGTAATTACCATGTGGAGACAGTAAAGTTTTTTGGCACATACATCAGTGCTACTTGTTTACTTAGTTCGTAATCTTGAAAATTCTGTATCCTAAAATATCCCCGAATGACATATGCTATCCTAGCATGGGGTCATTCACCACATATGTATAAAGTGTTTGCTCTACAGAGGAGGTGTGTTAGGTACAACATAGCAACTCTGAAGTACAGTCATCCATGTAGAGAGGAATTCAGACAACTATAGATCATGACTTTGTCTTGTGTTTACATTTATTACTGCCTCATTTATGTCAAGACTAACACTCACGCATCTATAACCCACCAAGAAATCCATGTATACAATATTTCAAACTACGTTAACTTTTTTGGATTGTATCTTTTTAATGTCTTACCTGTTCTGGCAAAAGCTCTTGATATTGACGATTCTAATGTATTTATGAAGAGTTTTCTTTTATCAAGAGTTTCCTTTGACAGACATACATTTTTTGCCTTACGACCTCTCGGATTTGATATAGCTTGTCTTATTTATAATGTATCGTTTTTCATTTATTATTATCTCTTTGTAACATATCTTTATATTTTTCTCTGACCTGTGTAACCACATCACGTGCAATAAACTGTTATTACACTGGACAACAAATTTTAGTTTTTTAATTGTATCTTGTGGGAAAAGTGCACTTCTTTGTTAATTTTGGGGCGCTGAATCCAAAAATGACAATGAAATCAAAAAATTAGTTGCGGTTTAGAAAAAAACTTTTTATTTTTAAGGATATATTAAAAAAAGTAACAAGATTCACATACTTATAAGAATCACTATATGCGCTGTCTTTTTGCTGTTCTTTTATGGATCGTTTCTGGAGCATCTCTACCAAGAGTCCAACAGTAGTCTGCAAGCATGGAAGGATTCCACTTTTTCTGGTACCTTTTTTCCATTGTTGAAATACCCTGATGAAAATGTTCGCCGTGCTCATCACTTACGGCTCCGCTATTGTCAGGAAAAAAGTCCAGGTGTGAGTGTAGGAAATGTATCTTAAGAGACATATTACAGCCCATCTTTTGATATGATGACAGCATATTTTTGACAAGGGTTTTATAGTTGTCAGCTTTTCTATTTCCCAAGAAATTAGTGACCACCAGACGGAAATCATTTCAAGCAGTTTTTTCAATACCTGTTAGTGTTTTCAAACTGTGTATCTTTCAAAATATTTCGAATCTGTGGCCCAATAAAAATACCTTCTTTAACCTTTGCCTCACTTAGTCTTGGAAATTTCTGACGCAGGTATTGAAAAGCTAACCCATCTCTATGTAATGCCTTGACAAAGTTTTTCATTAGGCCTAACTTGATATGCAGTGGTGGTAACAAATTTTTTTTCGAATCTACTAATGGCATATGCTGTACATTTTTTTGACCTGGCTCTAGGAATTGACGAACAGGCCAGTTTTGTCTGGTGCAATGAAGTGCCTTTGCCCGACTGTCCCATTCACACAAAAAACAGCAAAACTTGGTGTAGCCTAGCTGCAGCCCAAGTGAAAGTGCATCAACTTTCAAATCGCCACAAATATGCCATTGATGCTCATCGTATTTTATGCATGTCATTAGGTACTTCATATTGTCATATGATTCTTTCATGTGAACTGCATACCCTACAGGAAGAGATGGTAAAATATTTCCAATATGCAATAACACTGCCTTTAAACTCAATGTTGAACTGTCTATAAACAATCTCCATTCTTCTGGGTAATAGTTTATATTTGAAGCCGCCAGTAAGCCGTTAATGTTACTGCAGAAAACCAAGTTATTCTCCATATTGAAAAATGGTTCTAAGTCTTTGTGGCGTTTACGAAAAACACATACCGAAACATCGTCTTCTAACAAGTTCTACTGCTGCAGTCTTGATTCAAGTAACTCTGCCTTACATTTTGGAAGTTCTAAATCTCTTACAAGATCATTTAATTCTGACTGTGTTATTTTGTGAGGTTGGTGGCATGACGTGCTCGGTATAAAATCAGGATCTCTTGACGTTGATGGCATATCTTCTTCCTGACGAATCACTCGATCGCCATGATCTGATTCGTTTTCTGATTCGCAAGTGTAGGATTCTGGGGGTTTTGGAATAGGATTTTCGTCACTGTGAGGCACAGGTCTCATCGCAGATGGTATGTTTGGGTAGTTAATAACCGATTTTTTTTTCTTGGACATACCTGTGGCTTGTCCAACACAAGGTACCATGCAAAAGTAACAATCATTAATATGATTTGTAGGCTCTCTCCAAACCATTGGGACAGCAAAGCGCATAGCGCCATTTAACCAGCTCCTCAGACTTGAAGCACATGTATTACAGCAGATGTGGGGTGCCCACTGTTTGTCTTGATCACCTAGTTTACAACCGAAATAAAGCTGATAAGCCTTTGTTATTAGTGGAGTAATAGACCGTCTCTGAGACGCAAAAGTCACATCACCACACACGTAACAAAACTGATCTGGATTGTTTACACACTTTCGAGACATCTTGCATGAACGCTGTCAGCCAACTGGGGAAAAACTGGCTAATATAAAACAATATAATGTACACGTATATGTATAACGACACAATCATGCCGATTACATCATCTTTCCTTGCCGAATAATATAAAAATGTAGCACGTGCATTCTTGTGAATTACAGTATATTAACACTATCACAGCAGGAATACATATAATTACCGTATCTCTAAAACTTGAACTAATATTGAAAAAATAAGTTTCATTCCGGTTTTAGCACATTAAAAATAGTAATATTTTATTGATTTTATTTAGGATATTTTTTGGCTGGTGATCAGTGTTATTATTACTATTATCAATCTACAACATATATCACGAGCTTAGATATCTGCAATCCATAAAATATGTGGAGTCGTTTGAAAAGCTCGGAAATGGTACAACTCTTACTAAAACAATTTCTAATTCGATGGCTTAAGTGTACGTATAGTAATACAATACCTTGTCCAAATGTAATGCAGAGTGTTCCTGAGCCTTTCAGAAAACGTCATTGGGTGGCGAAAAGTAGACCATGTTTCTGAATACAAACTCGTCGAGTGTGGAGTTCCCATTGCGGAAAGCAATCCGGTCCAAGCACCGAAAGAATTGATACCCACAAGTGGTACTTTGAACTTCGCTGCGACTGCGTATAAGATGGGGGATGTGGTACCTTCAGCCAGTACTAGATCATAGCTTACATTTGTGGTGTTGTATATTTCAATAAATCTTGGGTGACTAAGTACTGCTTCTGCTATTTTGTAGTGCGTTTGGAAGAGTTTATGAATTTTAGAATGGAGAGGCACATCTTTTGACATGATTTCTGGTATGCTTGTGGTCTTTAATGCTGCTGAGACCGCCTCACTCACATCTATTTCTGTTAAATTCGTTAGTTCAGGCTCGTTTAAAGGGTGTGTGGTAACAATCGTTATCTGGTGGCCTTTCAAAGACAGTTCCTTCCATATTGGTTGGTACACAACTTGGTGACTTAAAAATGGTACCCGAAAGATACCTAAAATTCGAGCACAATTCACTGACACCCATAACACAGGCAAAAAATAAATAACGCCTTTCATGATTATTTGATGGTGCATTTAACTAAATGATAATGACTAACTTGTTTTCTAATACAAGTGACGTAAAAGGTCATCTGCAATTATGATGAACATGTGTTTATGTAAATATATACTAGGTATTGGGTGATTGGTATAATGGATAGATATGATAGTTGTTATTGAGGTAGATACTATAATGGAAAATATATAGTGAACAGTAACGAGAAGTAATACTAATTCACACTCCGATGCACATAAGCACATTGCATCAAAATTTGTTATACTCACAATAGGCACAGAGACTGTGGCAGCAATTGCAGGTCGCCTTTATGGCCTCCTTGATTTTCATAGTTTTTCCTGTCCTACGAGGTTATGGTACAAACATCAATTTGCATCAAATTGTTCATGCTTTTGATTTTTATCATCTGTTTTATCAGCCTGAAATTTCCTACAATTCAAAAAGAAAACGTAACTTCACAATAGGAGAGCGCTTGACACTGACACGGAACAGGTGAAATCTGAAAATACCACAGCCTTTCTGAAGAAAAGAAAGACGAGAAAGGCGTACTACAATTGTAGGAACAACTATGGCCGTTAATATCGCTAAGAAACACAATTCAGGAAGATTTTGGAATTGCTATATTGCATTTTTAATAATAAAAGTTTAACCGTCAATTTAAATAAAAAAGAATATTTTGCTTTTTCTTACGATAGAGGATCTTTCTCACCTTCCTCAAATATTGCCGTTGAATTACCATCTAGTACTTTAACACTTGTAACAAAATCCGCTGGTAGAGTCAAATATTTAGGATAACTGTTGACAAGCATATTAAATGGGATCAACATATTGAAAGCTTGGTAGAACGGATGTGGCGACATATTCCATATTTAGATTCCTCAAGGATACTGTGAAAAAGCATTCATGCTTTTTATGCAATGCGGTGGTACAACCACCCTTATCGTTTTGATTTGGGGATCAGTTTCAAACTTACACTGCTGAGTAGTTTATTACTCGTGCCTCGATGCTGCTCCTAACAACAGGATGCAAAAACTGCAAAACACTCGTTGGAGATTTGTTTTCAGCTTAAAGAAATATGTTCGTTTTGCTTGTTATACGAGCCTCTTCCCACATCAGTTGGAATACTTCAAGATTTGTACCAAGATATGTCTTGATAAACTAAACCTGACGAAACTATTTACTTCTAAAAGAATTTATTTTCTCAAAAACATTTTAGATACACTCTAGTCGTAAAAAAATACATATTTGAAATCACCTATAACTAATAGAGCATCTGAACAAATAAACAATGTGCGAATAAATGCGCGAAGTTAACAAAGCAACGATTGAAAGATTACCATTGGGTAACATCACCTTTATTTTTTATTACGGCTGAAATTCTTTGCGGCATAGTGCTAACCAAGTTTTGGCAAAAATTTGGTGTAAAACAATCCCATATTTCTTGAAGCTTTTGTCTCAGCTCGGTGATTGTACGAGCAGGATGTTGTCGTAGAACCTTTTTCATTTCGTGCCACAAAGTTTCAATAGGTGACAGATCTGGACTGCTAGAAACCCATTTCAAAAGTGGTACATTATTTTCTTCCATCCATTTTATAGGCTTTTTTGAGGTATGGCACGGTGCACCATCTTGCTGAAACACAAAATCTTGGGCGGATGTCAAACATTCTTCCATCACTGGTAAAAGCGATCCTTCTAAAATTGCCAAATATTTGTTTGTATCCACATTTCCATCAATAAAATGAAGTTTTCCTACTCCTTTTGATGACATATTTCCCGAGACCATAATGGATGCTGGAAATTTCACTTTTCTCTTCAGACAGTCAACATGGAATGCTTCATTTTTTTGCGAATAACTCTACTGCGACTGTCACCAACACAAACTTCGAATCGGGCCTCATCACTCCATTGTATTGCACACCATTGTTGAGGTGTCCATTGTCTATGTTCTTTAGCCCATCTAAGCCGATTTTTCTTTTCCAGTGGAGTTAATAGTGGCGTTTCTTTGGCCTATAAACAAGTTTTGCAACTTTAGGGTTTTTACTTCACTTTTTTTATAAGAAAAGTTACCTTGCAAGTGCTAAATGCCATTTTGTGGGCCTCTCTATGAGTTTTGGACCTCGAAATTCTGCTTCCAACAGCGTCACTCTACAGAGCACTTAATTGTGAATAATTGGCACGCCTGTTTTCACGATAATTCTTCTTAATGCTCTTCGTGGCTTAATATTAACTGAACCAGTTGCGTTATATCTTCTAACAATATTTCTCACACCGTACCGCGATAAGTCTAAGAAAGGTGCAATTTCTGAGTTTGATTTCCCACAATTAAAAAATTTAATTATCAGTAACCGAATTTTCTCACTAATAACCTTTCCTCTACCCATTTTGAAAACCTGAACTACCCAAAACTATTTTTTGAACGTATTCTGACAGCTGTAATTAATAAAAACAATTGTCATGGCTTTTATTTTTCACAGCCACCTATGCGTTATAGACTTATTTTGCATTGAAATGAAAAAAGGCTGATATGCTGTAATTGCAACATGTGTTATTTTTATGCTGCAAATTTGACTAGAGAGTGTTAAAGTTGGTGTTTTCTACTATATTCACGTATTATCAAAATATTCATTGTTAATATTTTAAACTTATAACACCCTGTTACATTTTTATTATTTGTGTTTGATAAGAAAAGACTAAGATTTCAATAGTTGGGCCAACTGGAGTGGGAAGGGGTTCGTATAGGATGCATTGCATAGTTGGCTAACATATTTAGTGCAGTCAAACCAGATACCAAGGTTTTTGCATTCGCTTACGAAGGACATGTCTTCATTATTCACTATAATATTAATGCGATATTGATTCATTTCACGATTCTTTTTGGACCCAAATAAAATGAAGCAAGATTTGCCAGCATTCAGTTTTAGATTGTGAGCACTAGATATGTCAAAAATGGGCTGCAGATCTTGATTAACTTGATGTTGGCCAAGCGTATATTCATCAGGATCGAAGCTGTTATAAAGTTGGGTATCATCGGCGTAATGATGAACGATTGAGTAGCTGGCGGTTTCATGAAAATCACATATATAAAGAGCAAATAAGAGGGGACTCAAAATAGATCCTTGAGGGACACCAAAATTCCTGAATAAAGAAGTTGATATATTGTTTTCATATACGACAGACTGTGAGCGATCAGTTAAGCCGCTTCTAATTAGCGTGCAATCCGATGAGAACAGGACAAAGTATCTAAGCTTTTGACAGAGAATATTTGGGTCAACCGTATCGAAGGCCTTGCTAAAATCAAGAAGAACTAAGCAAGACAGCTTTCCTTGATCAGCCGCGCTATAAATATTATTCGATATAGACAGGAGCGCAGAGGTATTGCTATGTAATGGTCTGAAGCCAAATGTATAAAATGTGATACAGTAGAGTAGTTGCTTATTACATTATACGAGTACGTAAAAAGGGTACAGAGAGTAGTTAAAACAGTTACAATAATATATTGAAAAAATAGATACGGCACGACACGACATTTTATAGATCCTGCTCTGTAGTCTAATGTGACCCTCGTCAAGAGCAGCTCTCAGCTTAGTAAATTCTTCAGTATTGTTTTGTGTTTAATCTAGAAGCTCAGCGTTTCTGCGCCTACATTTGCTTAGCACCTGGTTCAAGGTTTCAATGACAATTTTCAATTGTTTAATCTTCACCTCATAATATTGTTCAGCCTCTGACGCTTCGTCAACGGTATATGTTGATCTTCGCTGACATTTCTTGATGTACTCTACTCATCTCTATCATTTCCCTCTTTTGATAGCTTTCCGATTTCTGATTCATATTTAAACAGTTTCTCTTCAGTTTCTGTTTTGATCTCTTCTATTAAATTGTTTATGATTTCATTATCGTATTTTTTTGATTTTCCCTCCTTAGAGTTTCTTTTTCTTTTCGCGTATGTCAGAACAGATAATGGTGTTTTTTCCTAATCCAATCACATTCATTTTACGTTCCAAACAGCTTTTGTGATATACGGCAAGGCATATTGTGCAAGTTAGATCTTTTTACAACATTGAAAGAAGTTTTCCATGATCAGCTCTTCTGAACGGTTAGTCCTGTGGTCTAGTGAAAAACTCCAGTAGTAGTGAGGAAGGGAAATGCTACTACCACCTATACCAAATTCGTCTTTAACGTGTAGTAGATACATCAGGCATAAGGGGCAGGGCCAGACTGGCCAGAGCCACGAAAACCGATTATCATATTCGACCACTTTTTTACGTTAATCATTGTTTATAGGTTATGTTTCTCTCGAAGGTCTATAAATGTTTGCTCCAATTGTGCGCATGTCTATAGAAGTCTATAGTTTTTTTGTGCTGAGCTGACCCTGTCCTATTCGTTCACTTCCTACACCGCTGGGCAAGGAAGTACTGTAATAGTTAAAAATTTCGAAAATGAGATGTTGTCTTTGGATGATTTACAAGTCACATTGGTCACATTTCATTTTGTCGAGCGCTTTTTAAGCAAGTAGTGTATGCTGAACCAATTAATACTATCGATCAGTTACAGGAAACAATAGATAATGCGTTTTATCAAATTCAAGCCACAACAAATTTTTCGGTAGTACGTTTTTCTTTATTAATAAGATTCCGCACTTGTATCCGTCAGAATGGTGGTCTTTTTGAACATTTATTCAAATAAAGCTATGATTATCTAACTTTTATTTTTTTTACGAAAACAATGCACTCTAGGAAGAAGCACAATATGAATTACTTGTAGCAAATTGAAGGTAAAATTTGAAAAAATGCTCGTTGCGAAAAAAAAAACAGTGGCATAGGTAAATACTATTTTTATTTTGAAAAATAATGCCACTAATCCCCTGTATATCCACCACTGGTGGACGTTAGCTTTAAGTAAAGATTTAAATGTGGACAATACCTAGATAAATCTACATATCAAATTTCAATTGATTACAGTTGACGGTTATGGAGATATTAAAAAAACGTTCTTTAATTTTAAACTTCAACACCCCAAATCTTTTTAATCAAGCTCTCGAGGGAAAAATGTTACACAGAAGACATCCCTTAAAATGTAGTCCTGTGTAAGATGTTTCATTTTTGGTCACGACTTGTGAATCACCCTGTATATGTACATCACGTAGGACCATGTGTCTATCTGTCTGTCCGGTAATCCTTGGCCCGTATATAGCTTGAAAAGTACCGCTCGGATTTTGAAGAAATTTTCACACATGGTTGCTATTACACCAAGGACGAAAAGCTTCATGGTTCAGTGGGGCTGGAGAAAAAAAATCCAAAAACAGAAAAGGCTGTCCGATAAGGCTCAATCGTATAACGAGCTCCATTTCTACTATCGGTTCGCTTAGTTATACAGAGGTATGTTCATAACAAAGTCATGTATATAGTGGAGTATCTAGCGAGGGAGGAGCGGAACGCCGGTAGCCGGAGACTCTCCGGAATGAGCGGGCAGGACTGGTACATGGACGGCTTGGTCACCGAAGAGGGCTCAAGTGCTGGGGTCTCTGGGCATAGAACTAGGCTATCTCTGCCTCTCGGTGGATACACCACTATTTTCCAGGCGGAAATCTTTGCGATTCTGGCTTGTGTGTCTCACATTATGGAGGAGGGTGGGCCTATGAGAAGAATAACAATCTTTAAAAGCACTAAGTGCCTGTAAGATTACTTCGAGCCTTTTATTGCAATGCAGGGAGGCTCTGGATTGCCTCGCAGCGAGGCATCCGGTATCGTTAATGTGGGTACTGGGGCACGCTGGGATAAGGGGCAATGAGACGGTGGACACTCTGGCGAAGAAGGGATCAGCCAGCAAGCTCGTTGGTCCTGAGCCAGCTCTAGGAGTGACCGCGTATATAGCTAGGAGATAAATGGAGACGTGGGTTGCAAGACAAAGGATGGGCGTTTCTGCCTATCTCTGGATAGAGTCAACCTAACGTTACTGGTGGGACTGTTGTCTGGCCATAACACGTTAAGGCGCCACCTGCACGTGATAGGGGTGGCTGAGGATCCCTTGTGTGAGCGCTGCGGGGTAGAGGAAGAGACCTCGGCGCACGTTTTGTGTCGCTGTGAAGCTCTGAACTACTATAGGCAGACTATACTGGGGTCCATTACTTTGGACCCTCAGGACGTCAAGGAGTTTGGACTCAAGGCGATTCTCAATTTCGCTAAAGGGCGAGGCTTGTGATCTAAGGAATGTAGAGGTGCATAAGGGCCCGCTTAAGCACTGGCTTCTTATGATGGCCAGAATGCCTCTAATTTCAAGATTCATTCATTCATTCATTGATTCATAGTGGAGGATACACATTCGGTAAAACTAAATCTGTTAATATGCAGCTATGTGGGATTATAGGCAGATTGTTTTCTGCCCGGTGCTTGAACCAAACCCTGGTTGTGGGGTAATTAGACAAATGGGGAATCAAGGCCCACTTGTTCCAAAATGTCTTCTGACTAGTAAATGGGATCTGGTTTAAAATATTTCTAGTGAAAATGTGTTTCAGTTGTTTTCCGCTTCTCGACTCTTTACTTCCCACGCCTACTGACGAGGACGTATTGGTAATCTCGAAAAATTTCGAAAATGAGATATGCTTTGGATCTTATTTTAGAAAACTATGTCTGTTTGTCCACTATTACTTGTAAAGCACTTCTTGGATTTGGAAACAAATTTTTCACATGATTACTAGTATTCTAAGGACGAACAATTTTTATAGTTTTAGAAAATCAGTCAATGGGCGGCGGAAACAAGGTCCGAAATACAAAAACACAAAAACAGAGGAATCTGATAACTTTTGAAAAATTTGTTAGTGTTAAGACATTGAGCTGGTAGTTGTAGGTGGCGGTAAGTGTACTGACATCACTGCCGCTGTGCCTTGTAGCCGCGTTTGACGCTTCAGGTATTGAGAAGAGACGAACTTGCCACATGGACGGTACTACGGCTAGTACAGGGATATATGTAATGTCTAGAGACTGATTGGGTGGGCCTGTTTGACTGACTTGATCCGTTGAATTTCTATGTAGCTAACATTTTCCTCAGAGGGCGCCATTTTTTCCTTTATATTATCTGACGCATGCTGAGCAGACCTCACCTCATCTAAATCCGACTCATCGCAAAAGCAAGTCAAGGTAATACTGGACGTAGACCTGTCAGAAGGCTTTGAGCTTGCAGCGGAGGGCCACAGCTATCTTGTTCCGGGTAACCCAATAATAAAGGTCGGCGGCTGTTTCTCGGGAACGGCTTAACCTAGACCCATCCGTTGAAAAATTCCATATCAAAAATGACCAAGGAAAATTATTTTCAGCTTCATAAAATGACCGAATTTTCAATTTAAAAAATCGAATATCATTATTTTACAAAAGTGCGTTATTTCGGTACTGATTTAATAACTATGAAATTGATTGCTCAATTTTCGAACTTGTTTCTCAGTGTCATTTCTCTATATTTTGTTTTGTTTTAATTATGAGGTATATCTGTATTATGTTTTTTTTTTTCATATATTAGGCGGCACTACGATCCCTGTCGGTTATGAAAAGCGTAGAAATAGATTTCTAGGTAAAAAATTCTTAAATCGTATAATATTGATACATTTTACATGACCATCCATAACTTGTATTTTTCTTTTTATCCAGTACTACTTGAACATTGTAATTTAGTCATATTTTTCATCATATCGCCATAACGAATGAACATATTGATCTGCAGTTTCCGCCATTTCATAGAATTCTTTATGCTCTTTCCGAGAAATATTGAAAAAGTACACCGTTGTTTTTGAAATTTTTGGAAGAATACAAACTAGCAGTGACGCATCTATGAAATGCTATTCAGTGGCCACAAAGTGGACTAATTCGACAGCTTTGAGAATTCCAGGTGCAAGCTCTTTCGAATTAAACCAAGATCGAGAAAAAGTAGGATGTTGTACCTTCATTAAGAGCCATATCGTCTGTCATTTCTGCAGTTGTGGGACGCCTTTATGACCTTGTTGATTTTCATAGTTTTTATTGTCCCTCAGAAAGGTAGGGGTATTTCGAGATTGGGATGAAATGTATTGAAAACTTGAAGAGGTAGAATTTCTGAATTTTAATTTTGTTAAATTATCCCGCTTAACAAAACGATAAGTGATCGGGCATAGGTGAGTGACAATAATGCAAGGCTAAAAGAAAAAATACATATAATAGTGACGGAACACTGATGCTTTTATATATATAGACTATAGTTTAGCTAATGTAGTACACAGATTATCGAATGAATTTGTTATTGTGAAACTTGTACAACAGATTGTTCTGAATTGGTATACCGAATCATATTCACATACAAGGGAAGTTTTAACAAAAGCCTGGTGTGAGTAGAAGAGGATCAAGACAAGTACCTATTTTGTCATAAGGTACTAGGGGTTACAACGGGCAGGTACTATTCCTCAACCTCTCCGTATCGTCAGTCATTCCTACAATTATGATAGGGCGCCTTTCTGGCTTGCTTGATGTTCATAGTTTTTCATGTCCATTTTGAGGTTGAGCTATTACAAATTGCTATTTGCATCAAATTGTTCATATTCTTTGTTCTTATCAGCCATATATCGATGCATTTTTGCCAAAGTAACGTAAGTGACATTTTTGGTGAAAATCTTGTTTTTCCATTAACGTAAGGCTTTTATTGTTGAGAAGGTACTGCCAAAGTGTAGGAAGCCTAGATTTTACTTTAAACCTTTGTTTTTAACTTTTTTTGAAAACGTATGTCCAGAATTTTTTAAATCATATCCGTAAATGAAACGTAACTTTAACACTATTTCCATCATAGTAATGCAAGCTAACGTTTTTTACCGCCATAATAACGTAAGTCCCGGTCGGTTTCTGCGACTTACGTCAGATTTTCGCAGTCAGTGTTTGGCTTACGACAGTGTTAGGTTCGTGCTACCATCGACTAATTATTGATTTTAGGTAAGTAAACGACATTTTTTTATAGTTAGAATTCAAAAATATTACAATCTTAACTAATATTATCTAGGTACATACCTATAAAATACCATTTCATATTTAATTTCGTTCATTTATTACAAATGATTATGTGATAACCTCAAAGTCTGTGAGAAATTTGCAGGAATGAATCGGTTGAAGTTAAAAAAACGTTTTTTTGTAGTTAGAATTTAAAAATATTAAAACCTTAACAAATGTTATGTACCTACCTATAAAACTCCCATTTCATACTCAATTTCGTTTATTTATTAGAAGTTATTCTGTCATAACCTCGAAGCCTGTGAGAAATTTACAGGAATGAATCGGTTGAAGTTAGAGAAACACTGTTGTATTTGTTTCTATTCTAGTTTTTATAGGAGCTATGAAACATTGTAAACATAAATGCTCGGTTACTTTCAGATTATGGATCAAAAATAGAGTTATATGGGCCCCTTCAGAGTGGAGCACTATTATAGGAAATTGCAGAGTTAACCCGAGGCCATATACAGTAATAAAGCTTGAGCACTCTGAGTTCCAAAATTGGAAGAAGCTAGGGGATGATCAGCTGGTCCTTACAAAAACCGGACTAAAAATGAATAGTGTAAGACAAGCTTTTTTCCAAAAAGGATCATCGGAAGTCGCAGTCAAATATAACTATGGCAGCAGTCCTGAGTACGATTTGTGCTTTAACTACGATAAGGGTGGTAAGTTGGTCCATTTTACACATTACAGAGAACCTTTTACACTGAGTAAGCTTTTGCTTTTATACAGGGTGTCACTAAATTAATATTCAAAACTTCAACCACAAACAGAACTTATGTATATAAAAAATTTCTCATAAACATGGGTCCGGAAATGTTTAATTTCCGAGATACATTGTGTTGAAATGACGTCAAATAATCAATTTTTTTCTTTTAATTCAGATAAGTATTTTCGAATTTTTTTTTCTGTCAATATTTTTAATGCCATTAGCAATCGACAATCAGCATATCCTACTATTTTTTTAGACAAAAACTTGTAGTTAAGACAAATCATATTTTTCATTCAATATTACTTAGTACTAATATGGTTTTTGTTTTTTTTTAAACAAAAAAACGGTAGAATTTTCCAAAAGTTTGAAACAGTACTTTTTTTTTCTAAATAAAGTGAGCAATAATAATGAATTTTTGAAATTATAAAAAAATGCATTGGCGCGAGAATTAGGCTATTTTACTTTTCAACGTATTAAGTAACTACGCCACTGGTTAGATAATTAAGATTTTTTTCTTCTCATAATGGGTACCACCGAAATAAGAGAAACGACAAGGTTTAAAAATTTTCGAAAACATTTTGTCTGAATTATAAGAAAAAAACTGATTTTTTAACGTATTTTCAACACAATGTATCTCGGAAATGAAACATTTCCGGACCCATGTTTATCGCAAATTTTTCATCTACATATTTTTTAATGTTCTGTTTATGGTTGAAGTTTTGAATACTAATTTAGTGACACCCTGTATAGGGAATTCCCGTGTTATTAAGACTTTGTTAAATACAGAAAACTGTTAATGAACTACAAATATATAAAATGAATACATATTTGCAAGTTATCCTGAAATATTTCTTTGTTTAAGGTCGAGAGCGGCAAGAAAAGGCAGTTTCTGAACCTGAAAAAATTAATAAACAACTGATTCCAATATCCGAAATGAATAAAAGGGATTTGGAAAAACTTTGCAAAAACAATGTCATACCTGCCAGGCTTCACGATGAATTCTTTAAAATATAATGTAAGTCTTCTCTTCCAGATGAGTTAGCAGAAACTGATGCAGAGGATGACATGAAGATGAAAGCTCCACAACTTAAAAAAATATATATTTTTTACTAGTAAGAATTTTATATTTTCTTTTGTAACGTTATTTTGTGTGTTTTTTAATAATAAATGATACTTTTTAATCATTCCCAAAATACTGTAAGTGCTACAATTTGCCGCCAAACTGACGTATCTGTGTACTTACGTTACATTTTTGATCAAGACTTCGAGATTTCTGAACCCGTAAATTAACGTAGGTATCAATTAACCACTAAAACTGTAGAAAACCTTCAAAAATCATTTTTCTTAATTAAATGTAGACCTCAGAGAAACACCCTGGAAAATTTTGCACAATTTAAAAAAGTTTAACCAGGTTAAATTAAAAACCGTTTTTTCTCCGAAATCGTCTTTGGTGACTTACGTTACTTTGGCAAATACGTATCGATATTTCATCGGATTCAAAAAGACAACATAACCTTACCACAGTAGAACAGTAGAAATCTAGGACGTCATAAAGACGTCCTACAACTGTGGGACGCTTTTATGGCCTTCTTGATTTTCATAGTATTTTCTATAATTCAGAAAGGTTGGGGTATTTCTAGATTTCCATTGTTCCGTGTGAGCAGATATTATGAAGGAATGTTTTCTTTTTGAATTGCACCAAATTTCATGTTAATAAAACGGATAATATAAAACAAAAGCATGAACAATTTGATGCAAATAGATATTTGTGACATAACCTTAAAATAGAACGTTAACACCGAACACTAGAAAACTATGAAAATTAAGGAAGCCATAGAGGCGTGCTACAATTGTAGGAACAACTGACGATACGGTCCTTAGTAGATGACAGCATATACGACCTGTATATTATGAAATGAAATAGGCATTCGTAGACAAAGCATACCATAGCAATTTTAATGAAATGCAAGGAAAAGACAGTAGAATTTCGTTCATCGTTTCATCAAATAAGCAACATAAATATAACTTCTTGTTTACTTGCTCCAAGCAATAACAAATAATATCAAATTTACGCATTAGTATCTAAGATACACTACGAGTACAATGAACATTTAACAACTGCAGAGTTCATGTATGAGAACTATTATACTAATTTCATGAATTGGCACCGCACATTGTGAACAGTTTTTCGAAGATTAACTTTCAATTGGTGCACTCATCAAATAATATAAATTTGGTAAATCTTGATAGGTATAACTTGGCATCATTATGAGTGCCGATGTAGATGTATTGCCGAGCTTTACAAAATTAGTCAAATTACATTAGTTTGTGAGAACCGCATCCTTTCCAGGAGATGTGGCGTAAAATGAACGTTGAGATTCTTCCAACCGTTTGACCGCTAAGCAAAAATATAAAAAAGTATGTGGGCTTGTGCTTTTTTAATTATGCTTGCCACCGAAAAATCGCTTCAACAGAGCATCAGTCTTATCCCGTTGAAATTTGGGTTTCCAAAGATTTCACTCTAAATGGATTTACTTTCATACTGAACTTTCTTACTAATTTTCACAAAAACTCTCGCCAATACTGACCAACATCTTCGAGCACTGCGAAGGTTTAAAATTGTCGTTTGCTACTGGGGATGAGGTAGCTTTTTTATGCGCGCTGATGTAAAACATCCCCGGTAAAAACAAAATATGATCGTTTTGATTCTTGCTCCATGGTGTATCATTTTCCATCAAAGTTCGTAAGTCTAAAAAAAGAAAACTAAATTTTGAAAAAATGGACGTGTTGCAAATAATTCAAACCATAACGACATCAATAAAGCTTTTGGTCCGGGCTTGATTACTGCCGTTGAACTAAAGCGAGGTGCAGCGGCTCCTCTTTCCGACATTTCACGAATCCGGCACCTTCTCTGAAAACTCGCTCATATCCAGCCCATCAAAGAATAAGGGTCTAAGACAGACCCTTACAACTCTGCTTTACGTTATAAGTAAAGTGATGGAGAGGTGCATAAATTGGAGTATCTTGTCAGGGCACAGATAAGACCTAGTCTCAAGTACTGCTCACATGTTTGGGGTGCTGCCGCCTCAACTACATTATCCATGACCGATGCTGATCAGAGGAGAGCCGTCCGACTGATCGACGGCTCTAACGAACAGTCTCGGGATCCCTTCTCACCGACGGGCTCCTCAGAACTCTCCTCCATGATGCCGCCGCGCGATGTGCCTGCCTGACAGACCCTATCCTAATGTGTCGAACTTCGTACATCCGGAACTGGACGATACGACCGCTCCTGTGTCCCTAAGGTATCGAGATTGTGAAATAATTTACCTGAGGAGGCTTTTCCCAGTTACACTAACCTTAGGCAGTTCAAAAATCGAATGAGCAAAGTTTCTTTAAGCTCCTAAGAGCAGCCGCCGTGCTCTGGTGATTAGGCCTGCCTACGCGGCTGCTCTGGTATAAAAAAATAACGTTCGTTTCGCGTCACCCTGTATAATAGCGACTATTAGATTCTCAGTATATAGAAAACATCTCGGCTTATCACACTAAAATTCATTAATTTTGTTTAATTTTCGCACCACCACAAATCCTTGTCAAAATAAACTTAACTGTTTTATACAATACAAATATAACTAAGCTTATAGCCAACAATAATACTAGTATAACATCTACAAGTAAGTATTCGAACCACGAAACATCAGCAGTGGGACTTCTCAGGTGCTTTGTTCCCTTGTGACGGATCACGTACTCTATCCACCATATCGTTCTGTTAAGGGACGGTAACGGATGGTCCACCCATATATCTGCCAGCCTCTTAACATTTTCTTTGTATCTGGAAAGCAATTATGAAACGTGAAACATATATACCGTTCAACAAAACGCCTAAATTCTGGGCTATTAAACGTGATCTGAGATCCGTAACAGTTCCAAGTGATGCACTTTGCGCTGTCATATTTCCTATTGCAGCTACACACAGTGATCTATCACCATCAAAGAGAAAAACTCATGACAGTTTTTTGCAAAGATTACACTTACTTTGGGTTGCTGATGACCTCGATAATAGCATTTTTGAACTCTTCTTTGGTTACGGTAGTATGGTCAAGTCCGATGGCGGCTCCTTCTTCACTTAATCGTCTTATATTTCTTGTCTGATCTGCTATAAAGGGCATTCCCACCATTGGGACACCTCTTGATATTGCCTCTTCTATTGACTGCAGTCCGCATTGGGTGACAAACACCTTTACATTGGGATGGGCTTTAATAAAAAAAATAAAAAACTAATTTACTAAGCCGTATACCCAATAGATTGTTCTATTGGTATTGGGAAATGTTGACTCCCAAGAAATAAGCTGGATGTGAAAGTGAGTTAAGGACTTCATGTTAGCAGTACATTGTTGGAAAACGCATCCCTGAAGTATCGTTGTCATTATTGGAGTTACGGTCCCCAAAACGAAAACTGGTGTGCTCAAATACTACATTCTCCCATCTATTTTTTTCCAGAAAAACTCTTATCTGAAATAAGAATCTGGGGTTGGAGGAGAAAATATTGAAACATTATACTATTTTGGTAAATGTATTAAACATACACGCCCACCAAACATACCAAAATTCTATAACCCCCAAGTCGAAACTACTTTCCTATTTGTCCATCAACCCCCAATTCTGACGTCAGATTCTTATTCAGCGGGAAAAATACATGGGAAAGACATAGTGAGATCCCGAGCAGATACCACTTTCTTTTGTGGACCTGCGCAATCAGGCCAACATCGGCTTTTACAGCAATTAGGCTTCTGTTTGAACCTCTGCTACGTTTTCTGTAAAGGTTCTTCAACATAAAGTATCATTTAAGTCTTGGTAATGGAAAGTTAGATCATTTAACAAAAATCAAGCACTATCATTTTCTACACTCCAACTAAATGAAAGACGATGTAAGTATCAATTTCGTTTGAATAATGAATCATTAATAGTCCCTAACTTAATGATTAACAGAAATAGTTCTACTAAAATGATTTTTTAGAATTTATGTATGTTTTATAACTAGATTTTTACCTAGTACGTCTTGTTGTGGTATCCATTTCCCAATAAACACATTCTTTGGCTTTCCTGGTAAATTGTCATCTTCGAACTTCCACAATACTTTGTATGGTAATTCAGCGAAAGCCTCTATTAGCAGTTTCCTCAATTTTTCCGGAATATTGATACTTTTTACGTTGGATCCAAGACTAAAGTAGACTGCACCTAAAATAAAAATTATCATTTTAGCTTTTATATAAAAAATACTCCCGTACGTCTGGATCTGAATGTTCACATTGACAGAAAACAAGAAAGCTCATTGATGAGATGCAATGTAGTAAGATCCACAGATTGTGGACAGAATACTAAATAGCGCTGTAATAAACGAACATTTACTCGTATTGTCTAATACACTTCATTTGGCGGCCAGCAAAGGATGACGATTTATGAGCAAGGAAACCAATAAGGTTTCAGATGGCCAAGTAGAATTTGTTTACTTTCCGCCTCTGAGTCCATAACCAACCGTATACAGGGTTTTTTCCTTTTATTGTTGCATAACTTTAAGATTCGATAGATCTTTTAAAATTAATGCATAAAGTCTATGTAAACATGGGTCGAAAAATGCGCGGCTTCCGAAATTTACTTTCTAAAATAGTTTTTTTTAAATATTTCGAACAATATTTGATGTATAACAGTGAAAATTGGTATACAAGGGTTTTTTGGTACAGCAAAACGAACCATGGGCATAGTTTTACTGTAGCCGCTAGATGGCGCTCTCTCCTGTACCTGTAGCGTATTAAAATGACCGAAAAAATTTTTTTAGTGCAATTTTTTGCTTTTTGAATAAAAAAACTGATTCTTCGCACTTTTCAACATAAAAAAGCTCTCTTGTGAGTTTTCGTTATAGTTAGCCGTTTTTGAGATATTTCGATTTTTAAGGATCGATGCATTTTTAATTATTTATGGGAAAATAATATTTTTTTTTACATTTTCGATTTACAAGTAATTAAGATGATCGTTTAGATTGTGTTTTTAAACACGGCAATAATTCCTAGCTCCAAATAAACACAAAAAACAGAATATTAATTTGTATAATTTTCCAATATTATTTTTAACAAATTAATGGATAGTTAGGACAAACATACAAAATCGAAAGTAGTTGCTCGAAATGTAAACCCAATTGTTCAATACACAATTCACATCAACGAATGATCGAACGTGGTATAGCATTATTCAAATAAGGCCTTATTTCATCACATACATTCCTAATTCTGTCTATTAGCATATCTCTTGTGGTTACGGGAGTCTGGTATACTTTTTCTTTTAGAAATCCCCACACAAAGAAATCTAATGGATATAGGTCAGGGGATCGTGGAGGCCAGGCGACTGGTCCTCCACGGCCGATCCATCTTTCTGGATAATTTTCGTCCAGCCAGTTTCTAACTATTCTCGAATAATGAGCTTGACACCATCAAGCTGGAACCAGGCCAACCTTCTTAAATCTAACATAACATCATCCCACATATTTGCATGTTCAGCCTTTAAAAATTCCAAGAAGGTCGCAGCATTTAACCTTGCAGGCAAAAGGTAGGGTCCAAATAGTCGATTACGGTAGATACCAATCCACACGTTCACACTAAATTCATGCTGAAAATTTCTTTCCCGAACTGCATGCGGATTTTCATGCGACCAAATATGTTGATTTTGAAAATTTACCACTCCACGTCTAGTGAAGCATGACTCATCGGTGCATAAAACGTTACGTAAAAACTCCCTATTATTATCAGTTCTATCAAGAATCCACTGACAAAATGTGATTCTTCGTTCTCCGTCCCCTGGCTGTAGTCCTTGCACAGGTTGCAAATGGTAAGGACGTCTATAGTCATTTCTAAGAACACGGTGAACATGGCTTGCTGAACTTCCCAAGACAAAAGAAACTCTCCTAACACTTGTGGTCGGATCTCTATCAAACTCACGCAGAAACATACGGGTAAATCTGCGCTGACGAACATTTATGTTTTGATCTCTTTGGAGATTTCCAAAACCATTTTCAATTATTTGGCGATGCACTCTTACAAATACTGAGCGAGATGGATGTCGTGTGTTTGGAAATCTTCGTGCGTATTCTCTGGCTGCTTCTGCCGCGTTTCCATTTACAAAGCCATACACAAAATGAATATCCGCTAACTCTTGATTGGAGAATAAAAATGGCATTTTTATAAAACTTACAAAAAAAAACAGGTAAAAGAAACTAAATTTCGTGCATTCACAATTGCAAAAAAACCTTTCAGGTTTCAACATACAACAAAACTAATTGTCAACTAATTGACGTTTAACCTTATTCTGCTTTCAATTTCAAAAATATTTGCAGGCACAGCCTACTTCTAAAAATTATCGAGATACTGACTTTTTAACGTTATTTTAGCATAAATAATTAAAAATGCATCGAACCTTAAAAATCGAAGTATCTCAAAAACGGCTCACTATAACGAAAATTCACAAGAGAGCTTTTTTATGTTGAAAAGTGTGAGAAATCAGTTTTTTTATTCAAAAAGCAAAAAATTGCACTAAGAAAAATTAATCGGTCATTTTAAAACACTACAGGTACAGTAGAGAGCGCCCTCTAGCGGCTACAGTAAAACTATGCCCATGGTTCGTTTTGTCGTACCAAAAAACCCTTGTATATCAATTTTCACTGTTATACATCAAATATTGTTCGAAATATTTAAAAAAAACTATTTTAGAAAGTAAATTTAAACACCCTGTATTTCGGAAGCCACGCATTTTTCGACCCATGTTTATATAGACTTTATAAATTAATTTTGAAAGTTCTATCGAATCTTAAAGTTATGCGACAATAAACTGAAACACCCTGTATAATGTTGTTTCATGCTGTTTAGCAGTCATTGGTAGGGTATAGGTACCAGTTGAGTTTTACAATAGACTCCATTTTCTCTTCTCTACTTTCTGTTACCTGTCTCTAAAAGGCGAGACCTGCACCGTAGTCATGATTGCTAAAAAGTACGAAACAACACTGTATACGATTGGAAATGATCGCAAAGAAGCACATAGATCATATTTGACCTGTCTTTAGTTTATGCAGCCTTCGTATAGAACGTCAATGCATATTGAGTAGTTCTTACTCGTCTGAGTAATAATGGGCCGCGAATATGATTGTCATTGTTTAGCTTCATAGAAGCAAAAGCTGTCATTAAAAGACGCTGGTAAACTGTAGTTTCCCGGTGCCTTAAGTAGAGGTCGGAAGTACCGTGATTAGCGAAACTACTCACAGGTGGCGTGTCATCTTTTTCGCACATCATAATATTGAGTTTCAGATGTTATCAATGAGTTAAGACTGGGTAGAAAGAGCCAGACAAGAATTTGTAGTCTCCTAATTCTCACAGTCTGTAGTGAGTATCAAAGGGAATACTACAAGTGCACTTAATCCATAGAGTTAACCTTTCAACAGTTCTGTCATTAAATTCATATTGCTAGTATTATTTTTTAAGTGCGAGTGTTTGCAGATAACTGTGGTGTTAGAGGATTTCAAGACATGGAACTTCTTTCATAATTTGCAAGGAGCAGCTCCATGAAGGTAGACGTTTCTGCGGGTAAGTATTATTATTATGTTGACACAACGCTGTCACTTTGGTAGGCATTGGTAGTCAAATCAGTCAAAAGTATGCACTAAACAATTTGGGCAATAATCTACTCAAATTCGTTGGATGTTAGCAAGTATCTAGTCAAGGGGGCACTCTAGAGACTGCTTTGTACCTTACACTTTCTTGTATTACCTTCTCACCCCACACGTTTATCTGTATTTTGGAACAACCTTTCATAAGCTCGTAACTTTTGCCATCAAAAGAATGGTTGACGTTCACCTTGAAATTACCGTGTCTGTTTCCAATTTTCCCTAGCTCCATATCGAGTGATTGATAGAACAGAACTTTTGTCAAAGTCTAGCACGGACTGTTTTAATTTGGGCAGCATGAGCCCCTTCCCACTTCAGTTGGTCAACTATTGAAATTTTAGTTTTTTTCTTATCAAACACAAATAATAAAAATGTAGCAGGCTGTTATAGGTTTAAAATATTAACAATGAATATTTTGATAATATATAGTAGAAAACACTAACTTTATTACTCCCTAATCAAATTTGCAGCATAAAAATAACACATGTTGCAATTACAGCATATCAACCTATTTCATTTCAATGCAAAATAAGTCTGTAACGCATAGGTGGCTGTGAAAAATAAAAGCCATGACAATTGTTTTTATTAATCACAGCTGTCAGAATACGTTTAAAATAGTTTTGGATAGTTAAGGTTTTCAAAATGGGTAGAGGAAAGGTTATTAGTGAGAAAATTCGGTTACTGATAATTAAATTTTTTAATTCTGGGAAATCAAACTCAGAAATTGCAACTTTGTTAGACTTATCGCGGTACAGTGTGAGAAATATTGTTAGAAGATATAACGTAACTGGCTCAGTGAATATTAAGCCCCGATATGTGAAAAAAAGTAATATCACAAATGCCGACCGAAGAGCATTAAGAAGAATAATCGTGAAAAACAGGCGTGCCAATTATTTACAATTAAGTGCTCTGTGTAGTGACGTTGTTGGAAGGAGAATTTTTCACAACTCATAGAGAGGCCCACAAACTGGGATTTAGCACTTGCAAGGTAAGTTTTCTTATAAAAAAAAGTGAAGTAAAAACCCTAAAGTTGCACAACTTGTTTATAGGCCAAAGAAAGGCCACTATTAACTCCACTGCAAAAGAAAAATCGGCTTAGATGGGCTAAAGAACATAGGCAATGGAAACCTCAACAATGGTGTGCAATACAATGGAGTGATGAGGCCCGATTCGAAGTTTGTGTTGGTGACAGTCGCAGTAGAGTTATTCGCAAAAAAAATTAAGCATTCCATGTTGACTGTCTGAAGAGAAAAGTGAAATTTCCAGCATCCATTATGGTCTGGGGCAGTATGTCATCAAAAGGAGTAGGAAAACTTCATTGATGGAAATGTGGATACAAGCAAATATTTGGCAATTTTAGAAGAATCGCTTTTACCAGTGATGGAAGAATGTTTGACATCAGGCCAAGATTTTGTGTTTCAGCAAGATGGTGCAGCGTGCCATACCTCAAAAAAGGCTATAAAATGGATGGAAGAAAATAATGTGCCACTTTTAAATGGGTTTCTAGCAGTCCAGATCTGTCACCTATTGAAAC